GGGGCCGCCGCGCTCAGTGTCCCCGGGGCTGAGTCAGGGCGACAGGGGACACGGAGGGCCCAGGGCTCACAAAATCGTTACCGTGATTAGTACAGAACCGGAAAGCGCTGCCTTCCATCTGTCGTGGCTGGTTCTGTGGGAGATCTCACAGTGCTGAGCCTCACGGTGACCCGCGCACGCTGCCTGAGCGCCTGTCCCCGACCCCTCTGACGCTGCTGCTGGGCACTGCTCATTTCCACCTCTGCTTTAAGGAATAAACTGTAAAGCTGAAGCCCTTTGTTGGTTTCCAGCTCTCCATGTGCAGCCTTGTCTGCTGTCTCAAAGTTCTGAGCATCGCTTTGAAGGACTGGGCATCATCAGGGAGTGTGAACATGTAGAAACTGCTGAACAACTTCTGGCTTTTAAATGTATTTATTTTTTTTACCTCCAGTGACTATCACAGGAAACAGAATGCCCTCAGGGCACTTCAAAAGAAAGCTCTGGACAAGAATCCTGACGAGTTCTACTTTAAAATGATACGTACAGAACTCAAGGTGAGAATCTAAGTTGCCTTCAAGCAGGGTTACACTTTGTTGCTCTAAGTAACATTCTTTTTTTTTCCTACCTTCTTTTGTTTTTAATCTGTGAATTAGTAAATAAATCAGCAGACTTGGTTTGGTGCCTCTGGAAGGCTTTGAAGAAAATGAGAGGCAAAAGACAAAAAGTCTTATCAGGACCCATAGCAGACTACAGCTAGAATGGTGTCTGCCTGTAAGTGCTCTGTTCTCTCTGGTTTTAGGATGGAGTTCATGTAATAAAGCAGCCAAAGGATGAAGTCACCCCCGAACAGGTGAAACTGATGAGGACACAGGATATTAAATACGTGGAAATGAAAAGAGTGGCAGAAGCCAAGGTAATGCTTCACTTTTTTAGTGTTTTCCAATTTGCTGGGAATTGTTCTTTTCATTGTGGTTATTTTGTTGTTGGCTATTGCGTTTATGTTTAGAGAAATCTGATATGCAGATAACTTACTGTTGAGAAACAAGCAGGAATTTACTTCAGGGAGACATTATTATCTTGATAGGGATGTTTGGCAAAGCAGATTAACTTTTCTTTCCTGCAGAAAATCGAGCGGCTGAAGTCGGAGCTCCATCTTCTGGATGCTGACGGGAAGAAGCCCAACAAGCACATCTTCTTTTTTGACACCAAAAAAGAAGGTGAGATTTAAAAAGGTTTTGTCTGGAAAAACTTGTCCTGTGATGCTTTATCGTAGGCTGTTTAAAATAGTGTGGTGCTTTCTTTATGCTGTATTTATGATAATCTTTATCATAAAAAAAAGATTATTTTATTTTTTCAGGAATAATAATTCGGGTGCTCTAGGAATCTCTTTTGATTACTAGATAAGACCACAGGAGCTATGTTCCTGGGGCTTCCATTGCTGACTGTACTTAAGCTACACGTTTGGAAGGTTTGCTGAGCATTTGTCCAAGAAGTCCATGTCAGTTTATTCCTAGATTTCTTTTTTTTTGTTACAGTTCAGGAGTTTGATATTGCAACTCACCTGGATACTGTTCCAGAGCTCGTAGACAGAGTGTACAACCGACCGACCATTGCAACGCTGCAGAGAGAGACACTGAAAGGAGCTACTGATCCTGCCCACTTAAAGGTGCCTTGTACAGCCACTATTTGCATTAGAGTTCTCTTAACGTTTTACATCTTTTATATGATAAGTACTAAAGAGGATTCATTGGACTGTTGCTAAGGAGAATAAAGTTGTTTTCTGTTCTCTTAAGAGTTTTTATTAGTGACACAAAGCTGTAGTGGATGTCACTTCATCATCAAGTGCCTGGAGCCTACAGTTAGCTCTTCTCCTGGACCGACATGGAGGACTTGTTCAGTTGTATCCCAAGTCCCCTGTGGATTGTAAATCAAGGGTTGTGACCTGTGGGCCAGAAAGGGATGGTACAGATCTGATGAGGCAGTTTCCTTGGCAAAATGGATATATTTCTCCTCTGTTACATGACATACACCTATGGGGCTATCTTTTCATTAGATTGCTGCAGTTTTGTGTAATTTTTGCAGCATCCATTGTTAAGTTTCCCCTCACACCTCCCCAGAAACCCTTGCCCTGCCAAATATGAAGCAGCTTATTCCAACACAGATGTGTCTGTTGTTGCGTTTCTGATCTCTTGCTATTTTTCAATTAGGTTCTGAGCCTGAAGTTGCTTTAGATTCAGGATTTGTCTCCCCCCCTTTTCTTCTTAAAGACATTTAAGCTATAGTCTCACTAATAGGCTTTCCTAATTCAAGGTGTTTCATGATCCTTTGGGATGAATTGCTTATGCAATCAACTTTGATTCTGATGTTTTAATATCAGCACTTCTGTCCTAGAAGTAGCTACACTTGGCTTTAAATACCACTGTAAATACCACTTAATTAGTTTAGAGATATTGGGCAGTGCTGTAAGCTTGAGTTGCTATGCGAAAGGTAAAAATAAAGTTGTCTAAAATTGCTGATTAGTAAATTTGTAACCTGTTGTTTTCTGAATCAGATGTCAGATAACAAACACCCTGTAGTCCCTTTCTTCTTGCCAGATTTCTCAGTCTGCCTTGTCAGGAAAGCAGTTGGACAAGTTGTAGACTGACAAGTTTTCTCCTCTAAATGTCTGAGTCATATTTTAAGCATGTTGGGATCTGTTCTCCTTAATTTAATTACTTAAATCACACCTGCAGTAATACCACTTTTGTGCTAGGAAAGCCACCCGCTCTTAGTAGGCAAACGTGACCAAACAAGTTGCATTTTGGGAGGCCTCTGTGCAATTTCTAAGCACTTCAGGAACTGGTCTCTGGTCTTTTTTTTTTTCTCTTCCCTGCCCCCCACCTGGATAAACTGGGTTTTCATTAGGGAGTTAAATGTTATTTTGCACTCAACACTGAAATTCAGAGGATTTAGAAGAATGAAATTCCAGACACTTACTGAATAAGGTAAACTAGAAAACTTCTAGCATGAGAATCAGGATATTAAAAGAGTTCTGTGGAAATTAACCATGGAATTGAAGCAGCATTTTTTAATGTGATTATGCTTAAGTAAAAAATGTTTGTGAGGCCCAAGTGCCTCAGAATAGGACCATTACAGACCACAGCATCTTGTTCCTCTCTGTCTTAAAAACACTTTTTTTTTCCTCCTCCAGAAATTAGCCCAGCAGAGGAAGAATCAGTACGACCTCCTGAAGCAGCGCATTGAAAGAGAAAAGGCCATGTTTGTTATTGCACAGAAAATCCAGACACGTAAAGATCTGTTGGTGAGGGATTTAGTTCTGGTCCTTTGAATCTGTTTTGTTAAGGTCATTAGGACTGGTTTTGTGTGTATGCATTTCTTCAGTCTGATTTTACACTAACACTACCAGATAACTCCTAAAACTAAGTAATCCTCTTCTAGTATGGAAAAAGCGAGGAGATGAAGCATTCCAGTTGTGCCATGGCTAGTCAGTGATATCTGCTAGTCCAGCTTACCATGTCAGCAAGGACAAAGACCTTTGAAACGGTGCTCACAAGTCTTGTCTAAAATACTCTTGCCACCTTTCCAATAGTAAATTAACACTTTCAAGTAGCAAAGGCAAGGAACCATTTGTGTAGGTTACAAGAAGATCTTAAAAATCCCAATGACCAAAACAATTATTTGCCTCAGTGGGACTCACTGTTCACTGGTGCTTGTGAACAAAAGAGATTGTGCCTGACAACCTGAAGGCAGAAAGAGCAGACAGAAATATAATTCCCACCTAAACAGTGGAAAGTGACCATGTTTTACTAATGCCTTGTCAGTCCCAGACAGAGGACTTTCTTATTTATGTGAGAGTGGGGTTGTTTTCTTTTTTACCTTACATGCCAGCAAATATTTTTTTTCTTGTTCTTTTTTCCAGGACAAAACTCATAAAGTAAAGGTGAAGAAAGAGACAACAAATGGTCCAGCTATTTACAAATTCAAATTTCAGCGGAAACGTTAACCATTCCATTAAATAATGGTCACTGTCTTTGCTTAGAAAGAAAGAGGATTCTCCTTATGAAGAGGGACTGACACACTGAGTCAGTTTGTTTCTCACTGCAGCCTAGTGCTTTGTTAAAACAAATCACTGTGGGCCTGTGGTAGCCATAAATACATTGTATCTAATTAATTGATTAATAAATCAGAGTGTTTTGTTCTCTTGGTATTTACAGTGGGAAACCACAAGAGGTGCCTGTATGTCCTAGTAATAGGCACCATAAACAACCCTTGGAAAGTCAAGGTCAATATTAAAGAGGTGAGGAGATGGTTGCACACAGCACACGGACAGGAAAGGTGCTGTGGGATTGTTTCCTTCAGCTCTGTGGCCGGTGGACCATGACACGTCCCAAACTTTTAAGAGATTTCAGATTGGCTTTCTTAGCTATCTTTTCAAGCAGGTTAAAGTTGAATTATTATCTTTCTAATCACTCCTCCACACCACCCCCAAATCCCTCTTTAATTTTCTCATTCTGCTTTATCTGCACAAAGTATTTCACTTTAAAACGTAGAGTTGAAAGGTATTGCTGAGGGCACATTGCTGAATTCACTACACTGTACTATCCAGATTGCTCTGGAATGGTGCTAGCAGGGGGAGTTGTTTCTTCTACTGTACAGAAAGGAAGAAATACTCGACCTTTATGAATAATTTCCATAGCTGAGAAGCTGTTTGTGCTTATTCTGTTTTCTGTGCAACAGGGTAGCGCTGTGGCACGCTGAATTCCCAGTGTTGCCACCAAGTTTGAACAGAGGTGATACAGAAAT